TTAATTTTGCTCTATGATGTTGTTCTTGAGCTGTTTTTAAACTTAATGTACAAAAATCAGCTTTAGCTTGTTCGATAATATGCCTATATTGTTTGTATATTTGTTGGCGTATTTCAGTATTTTCGATAAAATTGATGATACTTGATGGAGTGATAGTTGAACGTTCTAAAGATGGATCCGATATATTAGAATGATTCATACGTTCTTCTAAGAATTGTAATTCTCGTTCAGTTGTTTTCTCTTCATTTTTTTTAAAACATGATTGTTTCATAAGTTTTTTCTAAAAAAAAAAAATAGTAAATAAACCTACGAAATTAATTATTTCTTCGAGAATTATAATCAACAATGTATACATACATCGTATTCAGTTGGATTTAGACGAAGAAATTCTTGTTTAATGGCTTCTATATGATAATCATAAGTAACAAGTTTTTTTTTATGTTCTATTTCTTGTAGAAGTTCATGTAAATGCTCGTTTATATAATTTTCTAATAAGTGTTCAACTTTTAAATTATATCCAGACAAATGATTGACTTTTTCATTCCATTCAATTTGTGTCTCTCTTAATTGTTTTTCTAGTTGTTGTCGATGATAACAAACCAACTCCATTGGACTTGTATGAATATTGGCATTTTTTTCGTTCATCGCTGTTATTATTCGTTTAATTTCTTTAGGCCAGATAGGAATATTCATTGAATAGACGACATAATTGCTTTGTTCAGATGTTTGTTCAATCAATTGACCAACACCAGATTTCCAATAGGTTGTCCATAATGAATGATATATTGATAGTAGATTAATTTTGTAAATAAGAATACTTATCTGTATTAAATCGTCTTGTATATCATCTTTCGATATTGAAACTGGTATTAGATGTAGCGCTTGATCGATGATGGATTGAAATGTATTATATTCATTTCTTAAATAAATTGGAACTTTCTCAAGACGTTTTTGAATTGTTTCATCCATTGATATTGATGAATTTTTTATTTTAGTCGCTTCTTTTGTATTTGGTACGATTGTTGTCATTAATTCATTCATTTGTTGTGATAAGATTATTTCTTCCTTATTCTAAATATAGAATATTTAACTAGAATTGTCCATAATCTTTGGCTTTCAAAACTTTACCTGTACAATTGTTGAAACTATTGAACCAAAGCCAAGGCACAAGTGACCGTTATTCTAGAAATGAATACGAAAGAATATGTGTATTTTACGAGGAATAATAAAAAACAATTGCTTTACTAGTCTTTCATTATTTGGATCATAATTGTCGCCCATGGTTGAATGTGCAGCTATTTTTTTATTTGACAGCGTTCAATTTTTATCTAGAAGAGACAGCGAGCTATGCCTCAGAGTAATACATAAGATCTAAACATTTTTTTTTTTTTTTTTTTGACATAAAACTGTAACACTAAAGAGCTAAATTGTTCATTAAAAATGAAAAATGAAAAAAAAAAAGACAACATCATCATCTATGATTTATTGTTGAGGATTGTGAAATGGACGTTGATTATATTCTTTCGTCATTTGAATTACTGAAACGATCGTTTCTCGAGTTGGAGTTGCTGGACGTATTAAATTATCATACCATTTTCCATCATAAGGTGAACCATAACGTTTTTGAGGATCACCACCAATTGGACATATCATATTTAATTTTGTTTCAGCATGAATAATGAACAATGTTTCAATAATATATCGTAACAGAATTGAATCATCAACAGGTACTAAATAAATAATAGAATATATCATAGAAAAGGAACTAGATGAACCAAAGAATAATACAATGAACTTACAAACAGCAATTATTTTCATTTGATACATATCGGTTTCAACAAAAGGAGATTGACCAATATCACTTAAGAGAAAATGATCGAAAAATAATTTTACTTGTTTTATTTGTAAGCATGAGAAATGACGTCCTTCAGATGATAATGGCACACAATTCATAAGTTCGTCTACTTTTCGTTGATGATCTGAACTCGTCGGTGGTACAAAATAGATTGCCGATCGGGTAGAATGAAGAACTTGTCTATATAGAGTATCTTCTGTTTCTACGTCTTTTTCAGACATTGGAATAAAACACCAATAATTTGGGTTTCGTTCAAGAAACCATTGAAGTGCCGTTGAACAATGAGCTAAATGTTGATAGAGACGCATTCGTTTCATAATCCGATGTCTAATATAGATGAAAGGTGAAATAAAACGTAATACAAATAATGAATATATATATATATATATATATATAGAAATCATAGGTATAAACATACTGAGTACGTTCTGCTGATGTCATTGCCATATGATAGATTGAAGTACCAGTTAAGATACTATGTATCATTTGATTGCATGTCAATCGATGATCTATTTATATATAAAAACTTTTTGTAATCATTAACAAAAAAAAAAAATATTGTTTAGTTTCGACATACGTGCTAAAGCATGAGCTAGTGTTTTCGATGTTGAATCCATAAATTCATACTTACCACATACACATGTCATCACATAAACAATATTTGACGTTTGACATGTCTAGATTAAAAAGAAAGAAACAATATGAATGTTCATTTATTATTCTACTGTTTGATAAATTATAATAGATACTGCTGGACAATTCAAAGAAGTTGTATAACCATTGACAAAACGATGATTTGAACTATTTGCAAAATCAATTGTAGACCATAATGAACTTTGTTGATGATTTGTCATTGTTTGACAACATAGGCAATTGTCATCACCACATGGAACCATACTATATCTAGCTTGTGGTAATTCATCGTTACAAAAGAGACCTAGTGTTGATGGATGAGGTTGAGCATCACGAAATCGACATGTTTTCATATAGAATGTATCAACTGAAATAGAAGAACGAAAGAAAAAAAAAGATAAAGCAATCATAAAAAGTTGGATGTTAAAAACAATAAATGAAACTTACCATCGATTTGTAAGAAAAATTCTAATGCTAAAGACATTCGTTTTGAATAGAATGTTGGATCTTTCACAGCGATATTACTTCTTGAGAGTACATTAGCTCGAAACGATTCATGATATCCAAAAAGTAACTGGCAAATTAAACGTAATCGATTAGCATTGCACGTAATAATTGATTCGTTGACTTGTAATCTTGTCGATAATTCTTTAGCATCCATGGAAGATAAACAAAATTGTTGTTGATCATCATCATCATCATTAGAGGGCAAGAATGATGTATTCGTTAAATCTTTTGCTTGTTGACGTCTCATTAATTCATCGGTTCCAAGTTGACTATCTAAAACATACATGAACACATAGTTGAGATTAAAAAAAAAAAAACTAGAATAAATACGCACTTAGTACATTCGGTAACAATAGATGATCATTGACACCTAATGTGATGACTGACGTTGGTGGTGGAAATATTGATAAATATTGAGAGCGTTGTTGATTATCTTGAGGTAATGTGATTGATTGATAACCTTGCTGTTTATTGTTCAATGTTGTTGATCCTGTTGTTGTTGTTGTAATGTGAGCAATTCGATTTGAATCCATAGTAGTTACGATCGGTTTATTATAATTAATTTTCCACTATCAAATTATTATCTAGAATAGTTAACAAAAAAAACCTGATAGAAATTATTTAATGTACACCAAAGTGAAGTGTTCAATAAGAAAGTTAAACCATCGAGAAACTAGTGCAAATTGGAATTAGTTATACTAGAACAAATACAGAAATGTAAAAATTTATAGTTCTATGATTCTTATATTCTATTGACAGAATTCTGCTACAAGCTATTAAACTTGAACTACAATTGTTTTCTTTGGATAGACTTTGGTTGAAAATAACTGACGGTTACTGTTTGAATTTTCGTTTGGCTCAGTCTGATGAAGAGGATTAATTTCGAATATTGAAAATTCTTTTCCATTTTCTTTTTTCCAACAGCAAAATTCAAGTATAAAATACAATAAACCCATGAATAATAAGGCCAGATAGATATATGTGATTGGTATTGTATTATTGATTTTTTCATATAATTTTTCAATGAATTCTACTGCATCATTCAGATGTGTTGACATTGATGACGTTCCTGTTGTTGATGCTGTTGTTGATAAGGGTATCGAATCCGCTCGAGGAAAATAGTGAAGTCGTTCTTGATGTTCAGGTGGTGGAATCATGTAAAATAAGTTCGTGTGCGACGGCGTGGACGTTAAGGATCTAGAAACGAACCAAAAAAAAAAAAAAAGACCGACGACATACAATATTATTTAAGATAAATGCAAAGAAGAAGAAAAAAAAAAAGAACATTGAAATAGTTTATTATATTGTATTTTGTTTTAATTCTTCAAGATTTTCAACTTTTTTCAATACCATGTGCCCATTTAGTTATTGCTAAATATTGGGCAATACCATGTGGATGATCAGTAAAATGTTCATCAAGCGTATACATAATTGCTCTTGATAAAGACCAACAACATAATGGTGATTTATATGGACGATAAGCAAATGAACATAGAGGAGCATCCATTTCATCATATTTCGAATATTCTTTTTTTGTTTTTTCTAAATTTTGAAGTATAGGAAGATACGTGTATATGTCTATATGGATTGAAGAAAAAAAAAAAGAGAAAGCAAATTCAAAAACAACTAGTTCTACAGGTGAAAGTGAAGTTAATGTCTGTTTTTAATAAAAAAGCATTCATAGGAAATATATATGTTGATGCTTATCTTTTGGTTAACATTTCTTGTTGAATTTGTTGTCGAGTTCTTTGATTTAAATCAGGAAACATGCCATGTAACTCTAATGGGTCACCTGAAATGTTTTCAATGTCTTTACGATGTCGTGATCGTCGTAATACTATCAGTCCATAGCAATTAAGTAACAAAAGTACGATAATTAGAACCATACCCAAACCAAAAACTATTAGAATATTTCTTGATGAATAACCATCATGATATTGATTTTCAGCCATCTTCAATGATGTTGTTGATGTTGGAATATTATCAGCTGTGACTGCTCCTGTTGCTGATAATGATAAGGATGTTAATTCAACAAAATAGTCCCCACTAATTTCATTAATACGACGTCTCACATATCCCATGGTAACACCATCATACACCCATGTAGTTTCTGTTTTATTGTGGCTGATAGGTACTTCAAAATAGATCGGACTATGTTCATTAAAGAACATTTTAATACTTCTAAATTGTCGAATTAAAGTCATGTGAATGGATGGAATACGTTTAGAAAGATATCTAGAAGAAGAACAAACACAAAAGTTATTTAGTTATCTAAAAGAATGAGAATGTGATAACAAGATAAAAACTCAGAAAAAAAACAAATATGAATGATGGACAAAAAGAGAGAAAAAAAGAAGTTATTTTGTTTTTGTTTGTTTTCTTTTTTCTATCACATAGATCTGTTCTCTATTTGTATATGATTCAAGAAGATGTATAATTTTTCTTGTTTTCATTTGATTTTCTCTCATCATTGTTAATTGTAATTTTAATACTAAAAAACAAAATAGATTTTATAAGTGAAACACTTTTTTTTTGCTTACAATCTCTCTTACTATGTTTCTGTTGATGAATATAAATATATTTTTTTGTATGATGATATGCAGAATCATTCGTTTTCTAAAAAAGAAATCCATATAAATTCATATGTCATATATATATATGATGGAAAAAAAAAAAAACATTTACTGGTTTATATTCTTGATTGTTTTCTAATGTTTGAAGTTGTTCATATTGTTTCAATTTCTGTAACATTGTATCATATTGATGTTGTTGTTCATTTTGTTCATATTGTTTTAATATTTCAATTTCTTGTAATTTTTTTCTTCGTTCATCAACATCATCCATAGATGAATGATCATCATCTTGAGTCAATTCTAATTCCAGTGTTTGTTTCAATAAATTATATTGTTTTTGTTCTTGTTGTTCTAATTCTTGAAGTTGTCGTGCAAGATCATTTTCCATAATTTCATCAAAATTTATACCTTGATATTGTTTTTGTTGTTGTTGTTGTTGTTGTTGTTTTTCTTTTTGTAATTGATGCCATCGTGCTAACATTCCTTGAATTTGCTCACGATAAGATTTCACTGGTGACTGACCATTTGTCTTGATGGTTGGTGTA